TTTATGTCAGATCTTACTGCCCTTATGCCCGTGTGAGGATAGGCTGTCCAAGTGCACACAAGTCTCGCACACGATGTTCCTCCTGATGAACGCTTAAGTGGTGGTGACACACATGCGTCCCGGGTGGCCTGGCTGCATGCTCCCTCGATTTTCACGCACAGACGTGTGCACGGCAGGCGAAGTGGTTCACTGAGCACCTTGGTGAGGATTTGCTGTCTGGAAAGTGGAGGTGGGTCCTCACAAATGTGCTGATATGCAGACCTGCATGGGGTGGGGGGGGACCCTCTAGATGGGGCAGTCTTGGGCCTTGGGGCCTGGCGGTATGGGGGTGGAGGTGGGCACTGTCTGTGCAGCATTCCAGAAGGGCCTTTCTGTTCCTGGCCAATGTTTCCATAGACGGCTGGCTGGCTTTAGTCCCAGTGCCCTTGTCATGGAAGGGTCCATGTGGGAAAGGAGCCGAGACTCTGCCGGATCACTCCTGGTGGCAGCGTGCTTTCCAGCGATGACACTTCCATGCCGCCTTCCTCGCCCTCCGTCTGCTTCACCAGATCTCCTCTCTGTGCTGTCTTTTTCTGTGACCTACTCTGGGCTTTTCTCTGTGCTCGTGACCTTCTGTAGGATACGCATTTTGAATGCCTGCATCCCCCATCTTTTTTCCTTTTTCTTTTTCTTTTTTTCTTTTTGCCATATGCACAGTCTCATTCATGAGTTTCCTGATTGACTGTGTCATAGGTCCTGGAAATCACGCACGTCGTAGGGACAGTCATCTCTAGCAAGGATTTCTTGATTGTGTTGGGCTTGGTTGTCCCAGAGTTTTTTGTAACGTCCCTTGGCATCTTCCTGACTTTCATAATGTTCCCTCTGTGGTGGTTCTCTTTGGTAGCATTGACTGTCCCTCTTGTAAAGTGCCTGTGTCATGAGCCTCACAGGTCCTCCTGGTCCTTGGTCCACAGGCTTAGACCCGCTGCGCTCCGGAGGGAGTGAGCCGCCAAGACACATTTGGTGGTGACCCGCGGGGTTCTGGGTGGCCACGACATTGTCCAATGTCAGAAGAACTTCAGAGGACATTCCTCTGCTTTCAGCGTACTTCCTGAGTTGAGTGACAGAGCCGGGATGGAACTGGTCTGGGGCAAGGGCTCTGGTTGTGCAGCAGACCACTGGCCACTGGCACTTCTTGCCTTCAGGACCCTGGGGTGAGCTTCCTACACAGGGCTAGCCGCCCCACTCACACCCCCGCCTGTATCCGCTCATTCGGTAGCTGCTTCACCCCTTCCTACCCAACATCTTGGTGCTCACTTGTCATTCTCGTGAAAAAATGTTTGTAGCATTTTTCTTCCTGACAGGGCTCCTCCTTCTGCATGAAAAACCTGTGCAGGCAACTTTGTCTCCAAAAGCGATTTTCTTTTGTTTTTCACTTTTTGTGTTGGAGTGATTGACATGCGGTGGACCGTAGCTCCTGCTTCTCTGCAATCCTCTCTGGGGACTCTGGGAAACTGTGTCCTTCTTCTTCGTGGTGGAAGCTGCTTCTCCTATCGCCTTTTCCATTATTAAAGGCAAACTCCATTCTAAAATCACCAAGCTATCCTTTGCCTGCATTGAATTGTTCCAGTTTTTGATCCTTCCCTTCCTTCTGCCTTAAGTAGTGATGTCAGGTCTTCACTTGTCTTGCAGTTTGAGTCGAGTCTGCAGGTGTGCCCGTCTCATAGCTGTCCTACATCTACAGAGATGCCACATTTTCAACACGACACAAAAAGATGTCTCAACGAAAACACTAGGTTTTTGCATGTCTTGGGGTGGCTGTAGCGAGAGCGTCGAGAATTTCCTTTTGTCTTTGTCCCCATGGACCCCATCGCTGGCCGGCTGGCAGCTGCAGCTGAGGACCTCAGTACATGTCAGGCCATTCAGCCTTTTCTTGTCATACCATGGCTCTTTTCATCGCGGGAGAACGTCCAGCATCTCTGGGTAAACTTCTGACGGGTCCCAGGGTGTAATTCAGGGTTCAAGGTTGTGCTTAACACACTGAAAAATACACAGGAACCCAGAGAAATCACTTTTACTGTGGTGTGTGAGTTACCAGAGAAAGGAACTGCTTCTGGTTGCTGATCAGCAGATTCGTGCAACACTTGAGGTGACCTCAATAGCTACAGGAGGTTTTGCACACTTTCCCCCTAGTACAGCGTTTGCTACAGCTCATTTTCATTTTATGCCGTTAGGACTTTATCCTGCGTCTCCACATTTGTATACCTTTCTCTTGACTGCAAATGGCACCATGTAGGTAAGGTCTGTTTACATGCGCACATTTTTGTGACTCTTACCTTGTTAGAGTAGATTTGTGTATGCTTTTGGGTAGGAAATGATATAATAGTCAAGTATCTGTGTATATTTCATGCCCTCGTGCCCTGCCTTTTACTATTTTTGATATTTTGAAGCTGCCCAGCTCGTCTGCCAGTCTTTCCAAATGTCACACATCTCCAGAAAAGTTTCCAATGTATTTATTGGAAAAAAAAAATCCCCACATAGAAATGGGTCTGCACAGCCCTACATAAAGAATCACATATGTGTCTGTGGGTTAACCTTGTCAAGTCAGATTGCAAGGAACTTGGGTAGTTCTGTGGTAAAGTTCCCCTTGATTAGGAAAAGGTTAATTCATGAAGAAACTTGAAGTATGTCACCTGTTTTTATAATGATTTTCTAGCATTGACAAAATCAACCACTCTCGCTATTTGGAATTTGAGTTGTTAAGTGAACCTTGTCCACTTGTTTGTCTTCAGAGTCAAAACTTCTGGGCCGCCTAAGTGGCTCAGGGGGTTAAGCATCTGACTCTTGGTTTCAGCTCAGGTCATGATGTCATGGTTCACGGATTGAGCTCTGCACCGGGCGCTGCGCTCTACTGACTGGAGAGTGTGCGTCCACCTCCTTGGAGCCCACCTGTACGCCGTGTCTTGGGCGAGCGCTCAGTATTGGCGGGAGAGAAACCCCACGCGCGGTGACGGACCCTGGCATCCCTCTCTTCAGAAACCCTTCGTCCATATTTCCTGCTTGACTAAGGAAATAAGACTCTGCCTTTCGTCAAGTCGTACAATCATTTTTGAAAAGTGCATTTCGTATGGTTGTCTCTGATTGGGCCAGGTGTTCAGTCTAAGACAGGGCTTTTGAATACCGTCAGCCTTTCCCCACTGCAGCTCCACAAGCCTGCTTGCCAGACGAGGCCAGAGGCTGGGGATGGGCAACAGGTTCTCAGGCTGTTGCTCCCAAGTCAGCAGGGTTCCTAAATCATAAACCTGCCAGGCACCTGAAAATGTCTGTCCCCTTGAGAGTAGGTCCCTAAGAAAATCCCTGGGACTCCTGTGGGTGGTGATGTGGGGACATGTGTGTGTTGCTACCTGAGGTTGGTGAGTGAGTGTACTCTGGAGAGCCACGGAGGCCTGGTGCGCTCTTGCTAATGACCCCCTGTGACTTTCCACTTTTCTCCCCTCTCCACCCCTGGAGTGTACAGCCCTTGCTGAGGAGCTCAACAGCTGTAGGAGCAGCTCTTGCAGAGAAAGGAAGAGGTCGTCAAACTGAAGGCAGAGAGAAACAACACCAGGGTCAGTAGGCATACTGCCAGTGTCTTTAAACACACGACAGCACTCCTCTTGTCCACATGTCCCTGTGGAGTTGGTTTGGACCCATTTTTCTCAGACCTCGTTTGATCTGTGAGAAGGCTATCTTACATTCGTGGGGGCAGCTCCTTAACTGGGTACTGAACTGAAGTGATTCAGACTTGGTTTTGCATTTGGTGAACTTGAGGCCCGCAATTGAAGGTGTTCTTGAAACACCGTTTTCCTTTGGCCTCTCCTGCCAGCTGCTGCTGGAACATTTGGAGTTCCTCGTCTCCAGGCACTAGAGATCTCTTCGGAAAACAGTGGTGAGGCTACAGGCGAAGACTACGGCCGGCGTGTGCATTGAGGCCGAGGGGCTGAAGGTCTTTGAACTCCATATTGGAGAACGACAAAAGGGAGGATGAAACGGTGTGCCTCGCCACGGCGGTTCTCGACTTGTGCACATGCTGTGTGTTATCAGGCATACACTGCGTTTTTGTGTGACTGGAGTTTCCTTTTAAGCTACTTGAATTCTTGTAAGAAGCCGGGTCTTTATGGATAAAAAGCAGTGGTTGGTGGAAATGTGTGTACAGATTTGCTGGTACAAATTGCATAATATAACTTATTTTGGGGAAGAATTGTCTCCAATGTAAAATTGAAAGCTGTTAACAAGCAATTTTGTGAACATGAGCATCCGTGAAAGTCCTTACCAGCATTCTGTCATGTTGTTGTTTTTTTTTTTTAATTTTTTTTAATGTTTATTTTTGAGACAGAGAGAGACAGAGCATGAACAGGGGAGGGTCAGAGAGAGAGGGAGACACAGAATCTGAAACAGGCTCCAGGCTCCGAGCTGTCAGCACAGAGCCCGACGCGGGGCTCGAACTCACGGAATGCGAGATCATGACCTGGAGCTGAAGTCATATGCTCAACCGACTGAGCCACCCAGGCGCCCCCTGTCATGTTATTTGAAGCGAAGGGGACCTTAGGGTGGCTTTACAGTACGGATTAATGAAAAATCCTCCGTGTACAAAATCAATCCCTTTGGTTCCAGGTGAGAGAGCATTTATGTGTGGCACTGGAGTGGTATAGTTTCTTCGAAGAAGAATCAGGCGCCACATGCAAAGAGTAAGCTCCAGACATCATCACAGGATTTGAATGGAGGGGGTTTCCTTTTTACCCCTTGTTTAAAAAATATATATATATATGAAGACCAGCAGTGGGGGCCCTCACATGTTGCTTCCCTTTCTGGCTTTCAAAGGTGGAGAGCCAGATGAAGGAGTGCCTAGCTCCCCTCTCCACTCTCGTGGCCAAGGTGGAGGAAGATCTAGACAACGCGCGGAAGGATGTCACCTTTTCAGAAGTAATGAACACCATGTTATGACAAGATGTGCATGAAGTGAGAGGCAGTTGAGAAAGCCTCGCTGTCCTCAAGTCAAATGTGGGGTGTTTGATTCGGTCTTTGTCCACTCTGTCCTTACTCTCCTACATTTTTTGAACGTTTGGAGTTTGGTAGAAGTAGCTGCAGAACGGAACGTTATTCCAGGGCCTGGCAGCTGCCTCCCCGTCTGTATGATAGAATCTGTCTTCCCTGGGCTCTACCCTACGAAAGCCTGGTGGGTAGGCAGCGTTGTGCCTTCAGGTGTGGAGTGCGTGCCACCTGAGCTTGTCCCACGCTGTGCTCACGGTCCGTTCTGGTAACACGCTCAGCACACTCGAAACACTGTGGTGCAGCCGCTCTGTTACTGGCACCGTGTCCGGGGCTGGCTCTGGTTGTGCATGTGCTCTGTGCTCCCGGGTCACGGCCTGGAAGTGTTGCCGAGGGTTCTCGACTCAGGGCGCTTAGAGTCCAGATCAGCTTGGGAGGGAGAGTGTCAGCTCCCTGGAGACAGCCCTCTCCGGCAGCTGCCGGCCTGTGCTTCTCACTCGTGTGGGATGGTGTGTCGTGTGCCAAGAACACGTGGAAGATGCTCTTCCGTGCTTCACCCAGTCCGACAGGCTCACAGGATGGTCCTTTGAGCAACCTCAGCAGCAGTAGCAGTAACCAGGACTCCCTGCACAACGCCCCCAAAAGAAGGTCATCAGTCCCTTGCGCTGTTTGCTAGGCAAGAAACAAAAGGTCCACCCCGGCCACGCTAGTGTTCTGTATAGCTGCAAAAGGGTTCTATATAGCTGCAAATAGGTTATATCTCCTCCATAGTGAAACTGAGGCCCGTATTAAGATAAGGTTCCTGGAGGACGTAGAGCATGTATGAAATCTGGAAAGGACTCACGTGGAATCCCATTCCACCTTGTGATGTTGTGCAGGGACGGCCTTACCCCAGAGCACTTGACTCTAAGCCTGGCTCCTGCACAGATGAGTTTGGGGCTCTCGGGAAGCTACATATTAGCATTCCTGTGCTTCCGTTTAATCACCTAACAGGATCTGTGGGAGCACTTCCGTCACATGGCTTTTAGGAGTGTCTGCATCTAAATATCCACGAGATACTTTGATCACAGAAGTTCCATCACATGTGTAACTGCAGCCCCTGTGAGGACATGGTCACCAGCATTCAGAAACTGTCATTCATCTGGTGGGCTCTCTGGCGCACTCACTAGGTTGCCCCTCCTTTTTCCCTCCCCTGTAGTTTTTGAGTTTCTCTTAGACTATGACCTTTGCAATCTATTCAGTACCACCTATTTTTAACTGGTCTTGATTCCAGACAATGGGTTTCATTTCCTACCAAGCAGCTGAGGCGCTGTGATGCCTGGGATGGGGGCCCAGAGAACTGGTGCAGGCATATCCCTCTGGGACTTTCCACTGTAGAGCAGGTCGCTTGTGGGTTGAGTGTGTCCCAGAGCTAAGTGGGTGAAGGAGGTATGTTGAGACCACATCCCAGTGATCCGACAACTGAAAAATAAAAGTGAACCCTCTTCAACAGAAGAGGTGGTTTGCAGTCTAGCGGGGTGGAGCAGGAGGTGGGCCAAGGGGGACATTGGAGATGGTGGGACGACGGGACAGGGCCTTGAGCCGGGGAAGAACTCAGTGGGCTTTGCGATACACTGGACAGCAGGCAAGGCATGGGGCCCCTCTCAGTGCCCCGAGTGCCTGCGAGGCCTGGAGTGGGCTGCCTCCCGTCCACACTGGGCCCACAGAGCCGCTTGCCATAGAGGCTTTTTCCCCTTCAGCCCCGGACTTGTCCGTTCGTTTCTCTTTCCGTCTGCCTCAATATAGTCTCCTCAGAACTCATAATAATGACCACGACTGGCACACTCAGTTGTACTTCAGGTGAAATGCCGTTATTTCTGTTAATGCTCCCAATTCCGTAGGAACCCTCAGGACTTTGTTCCCTGGAATAGAAATTTGTAGAAACAGTTTAACAGTGGTCTGATTTGAATGCCCCTATGTTTGAAGTGTATAAAACTGTTTTACAATAACTTGGATACTTGCCACCTGGATGGTATAAAATTTCTTACTGAAAGTAGACTTTTTGCTCCTGGAACCATGCTGGGAAAATTCTGTCTCTTAAATGTTGCCGATGTGTTTTATTTCACATCTTTATACTTTCTGTAAAGAAAACAGTAAGATTTATGGTAGTGCCTTCTGGTTCTCCCACCCCCCCCGGCCCCGAAATGTGTATTTTTGTAAGGTCTGAGGTAACAAAAATTGTGGATTGGCTGCTTTCTGCGTGGAGCCTGCTTTTGGTCCTTTTCCTCCTTTCTCTCTGCCTCTTTCTCCTCATACACATTCCTCTCTCTCTCTCTCTCTCTCTCTGAGACTTTGAAAAGGGCGATTGAGTGGTTCAGACAATGAAGCATCTGAGTCTTGGTTTCGGCACAGGACATGTTTTCATACATGGTGAATTTGAGGCTTGCAGTGGGCGCAGAGCTGACAGTGGGGAGTTTGCTTAAGATTCTCTCTCCCAATTCTCTGCCCCTGCTCTTTTCTTGCTGTTTCTGCCTCTTTCAAAAATAAAAAAACTATAAAAAATAAACCAATTAGCTATTGAGAAACCAATAGTTTCACAGAGATGAGGAATTTGCTTTCATTTTTGCTATTTGACACTGATATTCTTCAGAAATATTTTTGACATCATAACATGTTGGCTGCAGCTTGGGAATAGAGCCTGTAAGTTGTGTTTTGGCAGTAGCCGGATATCTCACTGCAATCCAGGGCCCTGTGCTCTGGGGGAATGTTTCAGTTATTTATTTGAAAAGACACAAAACGTTGCATTCTCCTTCTACAAAACCAGGACTGATTTCCTCCCACACCACTACTTAAGACTGTCGTCATTGCCGTAAGAACGAACCCATGCTTGTGAGGAGAACAGGGCAAGGGCAAGGGCGCTGTGGGACTGTCCCGGCGTGTGGCAGTGTCTGCAGCTCAAAGACTATTTGGAAAACGAAAAGGTAGTATCTTCTATGGCAGGAAGGTGATTTCACATAGACAGTGGAGCAGGCCCAGGCAGCCCAGGACTCTGCTGACTTGTGCCCGGTCAGGGTCCTGGCACAAGTGTGGCCCTGTCCCCCTTTACCCCCTGGGGCTGCCTTCTGGGCAGGGGGCCCGATGGCTGTCAGGAATGTGGGTAAATACCTGTAAACAAAACTGCAGAGCGAGGTCATTTTAAAGGGCTGGTAACTTTAATATACACTTTTTTTTTTTTAATTTCCAATTAGTCTTGATTTCTGGATGATGACAAAACTTTAGGAAGGCACCTTCTTGGAGAAAACAATGTAGACAAAAGGACATTTGTGACTTAGCTGCTGGGTCAGCAGAGACTCTCCCTGCAGACTTCTGGGTCACTTCCTCTCTGTCCTCTATGCAGCCAAAGAAGATGCAGCTGGTCGTCGGTCCGTGACACGCTGACCTGCCCCAGCCCCTCGGGGACGGCGCCACAGGAGGCTCTTTGACTGGAATGTAAAAAATGGTGGAGAATGGCCAACTTCGTATGTAACAAGGCTGTGGCCCTGCTTATCTGCTTGAAAATTAGTGTGCTCTTCCACCTACTACAGCTAGGCCTTGTGGGTGTCCTCAGTGCATTGGCTCTAGCACAGCCTATAGTCCTGGGTGCCAGGGCAGCTTGCCTGGAGTGACACGCAGAACCTAAGAGCTGAGGCCGCGGCAAGCCTGTGGGGGGGGGAACCTGGGCCCGTCCTCCCCCCACCCCTGACCCACGCCCACCCTGAGCTCCCTGGCACCACAACTCTCAGAAGACCAATCAGGAAGCACTGGGCTCCCACCACGGGGCAGGGTGCTGGGTGTGCACCCAGGAGGAAGGCGCGAGACCCTGGAAATTATGTAGTGCAACTCTAATAAGGGTCTTATTGTTCTTACTGAAATCCACTTCATACATTTGTTTTTAGAATAAGTTTAGAGTGGACCTCAATCTCCATTTGTAGATTTTCCTTAAGTTTTTTATGTTTATTTATTACTGAGAGACAGAGAGAGCATGAGCATGGGAGGGGCAGAGACAGAAGACACAGATTCCGAAGCAGCCCTCACGAGGCCACTTCAGGAGGTTCTCGCACAAGATCCCTCATAGCTCAGGCAACTCTGGGATGGTTCCTTCCCTCCCCGCCACAGAGAGCTTATGGCCATTGGGTCAAGGGATGGACACCCTGACCCGTGGGCCTTGTGTGAAGGGCACAGCTGACAATCGCTGGGATTTCCTCTTCCTGTACTGTCTCTCCCGCCAGGGCCGATCGTTTACTACTGTGAAGGATACATAGTTTCTGTGGAGTAAGACTTCCCTTCTTTCTGTCAGGGCATAGTTAGGTCATTCTGTGTCTTCCTGTTCAGAACCTTTGCTGGCTGATCTTTAGTTTCTGCACTTCCTAGTCCTTAGTGTGAAGTGTGAGGTTTGGAACAACAAAGTGCTTCCCTGCGTTTTACATCTAGGATTCTGTTTTTTCCCCCACCAAAGCTGGGCAAGCCTTTGGCATCTGAGAGTTTCTGGAAACAGACCATTCCCCAGAATTACATTAGGTTGCACATGGTTTATTAAAACTTGATTTGGTGAATCCAATTATGCTTTAAAAAGAAATGTCAATTGAGAAATAGACCAAGCACCGAGCAAATGTCCGAGGGGTGTGGCCTCTCTGAGAACACGCGTTAGCCATCCTTGGCTGTGCTCGCCCCATACTGAATGTTCCGGGGTTTGCAGGCCTGCCTGGTCCCTCAGACCCGCCAGGTCCCACCCGTCTTTCCACAGACCCGATAGGTCCCAAAGAATACCCTTGACTGTCCTACCACTACACACTCCTCCTTGAGGCCACCCTATCGTCATCACTGCTGCCCTTTAGGTCCTTTCTTGTGTGTCACATCGAGTGTTCTGAATGTAATTGTGATTTCACACTTTCCTCCTCGCCTTTCTGCTAGCCGAGTCCTGCAAAATCCCAGATGGGTGCTCCGCGGTACTCGGAGGGGTCTGTCCTCATGGCCTCTGCAGAGGGGCAGCAGGCGCGTGTTCAAGAGGGGTTGTTGCCTCCTTCCTGATGATGTGGCTTCACTTGATGGTGTTTCTCAAGATCTCTGACGTTCTGCTTTCTCTTACCTCCCTGTCGCTTGAGTCCTCCGTGGGAAGAGGTGGCTTGGATTCTGCTCTTTCTCCTCCTTGTCTTCCTTTGGCACATTTTCCAGTCCTGACTTGAGGCCAGCTCTGTGTCCACCACCACCCGGTGCATGGGCAGATTTCAGCGGGAGCAGGGAGGTTCCATCCTGCCTGGCTTCGGTGCTTGCTGGCCTCCGTGCCCTGTCCCTTCTTGGTGTATCTTACATGACACCTCTTTTAAGAACACTTATCTGTGTACTCCCCAGGGAGTCCAGGGTGGTCTCCAGGTTTTCCACTTAGCTGCACTTACCAAGACTGCCTTTCCAAATAAGGTCACATAGATATGTTCCAGAGATTTGGACATAGACGGGACCACCTCCCCCGTCCACCTGTTTCTGGAGAAGGCCTGTTCTGCCTAGTCATAACCCGGAGGCATCAGGGTGGGGAGGACGGTGCCAACCCTCCCACAGGGAAGAGGACTCTCGGGTCACACGTCAGGCCCTAGACTGTCCAGGAAGAAAGAGGAAGATGGGAAATGGCCGAGAGGGCCTCTGGCGTGCATCAGGATTACTGCCGGTTGATCTCACTCGAGTGTGCTGGGCCTCTCTCAGTCACGAGCATGCGTATGCCTGGTGGGGGTGAGTGTTCTCTGCTTTGGTAGAAGGCACTTTCAGGGACCCCTGAGACAGGAACCACTCTGGAAAGGCATTAGGACGTGCGGGGGAGACAGTGATGCAAGAGCAAATCATCCTGCCCACACATGAGAGGAAGCAGCATCAGGCCTGGACGCCAGGATGCCAGCCAGGCTGGGCTGTGGTGAGGGCGAGTAGCAGGGAGGCCTGTGTCCCTGTGTGCCGCCTCCAAGGCCTCCATCCGCTGTGAGCCATGGGCATGGTGGCTGCCCACAGGGTTTGGGGCACAAACACCAGAGCACATCCAGCAGTTAGAGGGTGGGTCAGCCTCTCCTGCGCAAACGGTGGCTGCCGTCCCACCTCCTTGGATTGTTTTCAGTGCGTCCGGCCAGCCATCCTTAGAGGAGGCGAACAGAACCTTTCTCCACTGGTGCTGAGGGGAGGCCCACAGCCTAGCCTCCGTGCTTCAAAGCCATGGCTTTGGGTTTCAGACAAAGATGATCTCGGATAATTATGTAAAATCTATTTGTAAATATTTTCAGGAGAATAAATAATGTCAATTAATTGGAAATTTATTTATTTATTTTTAAAAAAAATTTTTTCAACGTTT